AAGGTAATCATACTCTTTTTACTTTCACTAGCAACCAAAGTTAATATTCCAAAAAGTGTAGTGTACTTGAAGAAAATATATTTTGTTATAAATTGAAGTGAATATCTAATGTATCTTCCCTGTGATAGTCAAGCATTTTGTTGAAGTAAATAGTATTGTATGTTAACTGTCCAAGTATATATTCTCTCTCCCTATTAATAAAATGATTAGAGGGACATTACATATTATTCCTGGCACACCATTATTCCTCATATCAAGATTTCCTATGCTAAAAATCAAGTCTTCACTTAAAAGTTTCAACCTACTGATTATTAGGCAAAAATAAACAATAGATCTCAATCGTCATGTTATGTTTTTTTTATTCAGTTTCTTCAAGTTCCTCCTCTGGCAAAAAATAAAAAATAAAAAATAAAAAAAGACAAAAAAAAGTGAAAAAGTGACAAATCCTTATTATTTCCTGTCATTCTGCAATGCCTTAGCCACATACAGCTTGCCCAGTGACTGGCTGCAGAACTGCGAAATTTGCTTGCAGTAGTTCGAAATCTGTCCAGAGGTAATCATAGCATCAAGTCTTGGCAGGGGAGCAATGGGCTTGAATTGCTTGCTAATGTCCTCTTCAGGCAGAGGGGGCTCTCCACGGGCCTGGCGCTGGGCATTCTCCGCAGCCTGGGGTGGGAATAAGGGTAAAAAAGAGGAGTGAAAAATTAGCTTAGTTATGGTGCAAGTCTGCTGCTTAAGTAACTATATTAGGAGAGTCTGAAGTGTGACCTCATTAAAAATAATGAATAGATAAAAGAAAGGGGACTTTTGATTTACCTTTAGTAACAAATTGTGTAAGTTAATCATAATGCTAAATTTCCTTTCCATTCTAAAATTGGCAAGTAAAGTTTATAGTTATGATAAACATACTATGAAACCACTATGAGAAGGAAGACATTCATTGTAGCAGTTTCATTTCTATTTCACCCAATACACTTGTATTTTTTTTTACTGCTTAACCGAATGCCGACGGGTATGACATGTACATACGTGCTATGCCCACTGTGAGTACTTGTTTGATTGTTTTTACATACTTGTACTAAATCACCAATGAGCCAGTTACGAGTACTGCCTGTCTCACCCGTTTACCCTTTTCTTTGATTTATGAAATATTTTACGTTATCTTATTTTGCTGTTACTACTCTTAAAAAACATTATAATAATTATAATATTTATAATAAAAATAACACAATCGATATTCATAGCACTAGCGAAAAATACGTTTTTCCCACCATTTCAAATCTGGCACTAGCAGAGCCATCTATGGGCAGACATTTCACAAAAAATATAGAAAATAGGGATATCATTTTCACCATTTTTTGTTAATTTTCCCCGGCAGCATTGCATTTATATAAAATATCAAATAAAGAACATTCCCAACTATACTAATTAACCCCTTGGTGACGGGTTAAGACAACTAAAAAAAATAAATAAAAATTCACGCTATGGCGGTCAATGGCGCGCTGCCACGGCATACAGCTGCACGCCACATTTCATGCCTATAGGCGTAACCTGTCAGGAAGGGGTAAGAACAACAAAAACAACGCCACCACCTACCCTCTTCTGCATGAACTTGTGCTTGTCCTGCAACTGCTTGGCATTCTGTCGCTGGAAGTTGTTGAACTTGTTGGCTTCTTGGCTGAGGTCATCCACATAGTCCATTAAGCACCTAAGCTGGCGGTCAAGAGTCGACATTGTCCCCAAGTCAAGGAACTGCATACCCTCGCTGCTGGGCATCATCTGTCACATAAAAACAGGTATGCTGAGTCAGCACAAGTATGAGTGTAAATAGCCTAATGGGCATCAGAAATAATTTTTTTTCTTTTCTTGTTCTTAGTGGTCTTTTTCTTTTTTCTTTTTCTGGGGCAGAAAGAGATCTTTTTATGAGAAACTTAACTATAATTTTTTTTCTGTACTATTTTTTAGAGGATGATTTTTTTTTTTTTTTTTTTAGAAAATTTAGGTACTGAAACAGGATGTTTTTAACCCCTTGATAACAGGTGAAGAATTTTTTTAAAAGCTATGATCTGGAGATTAATGGCAATGCGCCAGGAATTCAGTGCATCAAGCCGAATCACCGGCTCATAGCGCTTTGGCATACTGCCGCGGCATACGCCACAGATTGAGCAGTTTGTTTTGATGCCTCACGGCGTGACTCATCGGGATGGGGTTAAAGGCTTGAATAATGCCTATTTCTAGGTCTTTTTGGAAATGCTAGATATCAACTTATTTAAGGTACCCCCTACCCCTACCGTCATATCATGATAAATTTGGCTGGAAGGGCAGGGTGAAAGGAACTTGCTGTCATGAGAATACTTATGAAGAAAAAGAGAAAATAACATTGCAAACATGATGTATGGAGTCTTTTCACCTTACACAAGTATTCATGTGCGCCTAGCGAACAACTAAGCACCCATCAGAGTGGCCACTGAAGTAGGCCTAATGTAAGTAGTATGGGATATAAAATAAATCCCACTTCATAATGGCAAACACTGAAGAAATGTAAAGTACTAACGAAGAAAATGAAGAGAGAGAAAAAAAGAGACTTCTTCCACTTTCTCACCTCATATAATTCACACATGAGTGTGTTGACGAGGTGAGAGTTCTTTATGACTAATCGGATCTCCTGGAAGAGATTCTCGTAGCCTAGTCTTCCCTTCTTTAGAGCCTCGGGGGTGTAATCACGCTCCTGGACAGTGTTAATGGCCTCTGGGGTCAGACGGTATGCCTTGATGGAGAGGAAGCCCCTGGCAGTCTTGATAGGGTCTGAAATTTGTGTACATGAATTAACTTTTTGTCAATCAATTGAATAAATTACTTTCTGCACTGTGTAATATAGAAAAAAAAATGCATTCAATAAATTCCCCGTGTAACGTACTGTTTTTGCTAAGAAATTTCATTAGTCATGCTAGATTCAAACTATAATCATGTTTACTAACTCAAATATAAATTCCTGTAGAAGTCATTGAATATTTATATCATGTTGAAAAAAAATATTGGTATAAAGTGTTGTTTTCTAACTACAAAAATAAGAACTTTTCTCTATGAATCTATCTCGCTTTCTTCTTCATTAAACCCACTTTCCTCCTCCCTCGTCCCTATTATTATAAATGACAGCACAATAAAGTTAAATTTATCCTCAAAAAGAACTGCTGACACGCACATCCTATTTTCCAAACTCATAAAAATATATTATAGTTGAGAGACTCTGAACTGGAAAAAATCTTGAACTTTGACATTTCAATAAAAAAATTACAAAGAATCTTGAGCAATAAGCTTAGTGCCACTTCATTGTGAAATAAATCACCTAAAGCTCGTACATACCGTAGATGAGAACGACTGACTCTTCAATGCTTGTCTGGTAGGAAAACTGAGACTCAAGGAGCTGTGTGGTGATGAAGTTACCAAGCTGTGTGCTCTGGTACCAGCCCACGCTAAGGTGGTCTACGTTGACTTTGCGCAGATGCCTCATCATTTCCAGCTGATAATCCTCTGAAAATAAAAATATATGTATATACGTTAACAAAATGAGAGATAGTTTATTTTCATACAGCATAATATTTTCTACTTGCACTTTTTAAAAGTTCAGGTAGCAAGATGTTTCCTTAACCCCTTGGTGCCGGGTATGACATGTACGTACGTGCTATGCCCACTGTGAGTACTTGTTAGATTGTTTTTACGCATAGATGGCAACACTTGTACTAAATCACCAATGAGCCACTTAGGAACACCACCCATCTCGCCCATTTACCCGTTTCTTTGATTTACAAAATATTTTACGTAATCTTATTTTGCTGTTACTAATGTTAAAAAAAATTATAAAAATTATAATATTTATGATAAAAATAACACCATCGATTTTCATAGAACTAGTGAAAAATACGTTTTTCCCGCCATTTAAATCAGGCGCTAGCAGAGCCATCTATCGGCAGACATTTCACGAAAAACATAGAAAGTGGGCACAATATTTTCCCCATTTTTTGTTCATTTTCCCCCGGCACCATTGGGTTAACTAACTAAAGTATAAAGTTTTATCTTCTGCTGTAAACTTTGCTCCTTTTCCTTAAACAAAAACATTACTTTTAGTGATTTTGTGATATGTGCACTTTCGATACCTTTAAACCACACACACGCACACATGCAAGCATGCGCGCGTGCATGCATGTGTGTGTGCGAGTTCATTCTGCACCACTTCATATCATGATTAGCTTTATTCCTTTTCTCACTTTTTACTTGTTAAACTTTTCTTGTGTGTTTATAAGGTCAGGAACTATGACCAAAAAATGTTTTTCTATTCTAAAAAAAGCAAAATTTTGGAGAGCTGTAACATTAATCTTGGAGTCAAGATCAAAAAGCTGGATTCATAAATGCAAAGAGCCTACTCCCTTCATTCTCGGCCAATAATTGTATCCTATTTTACTTTAACATAGTTATCTTTGGCTTTGATTTTTTTCTTACATTACTTTTTAATTTATTTGAAAAAAAATATTGGTCCAATTTCCAGATAAATTGAGTAAATCACAAATTGCTACGCCTAAGAAAGTAGAAATTTAGAAAAAGTGTTATTCCCTATGATTAATATCTCAGTTCCGTCTCATCTTCACACCCATACCTGAAATTATGCTCCGCTTCCCTTGATGTTTGTATCTGTTGATATGCCTACCTTAGCCCAACTCTTTTCATTAGAATATCCATGACATAAAAATACCACAACAGAAAAAGAAAGAAGACAAACAGACTAACAAAAATATCACAAAAATATAGAAAAAAAGGATAGCTCTTCCCCATTTACCTTCATCGACATCATCAGCGTGGCGTGGGAAGGGGAAGCAGTTTGTGATCTCAAGCCTCTCATCCACGACCAGGCCAAGCAGGACACCCTGAGCCACGTCTGTGTTGCCGGCACCTTCCTCATGGCAGTGCTTGATGATTTTCATCAATGCCTGAAGAGATGAAGAAAT